GGGCAGCAGCTCCTCCCAACTGTTCCCACCGATCATAGGCGCGGTCCAATAGAGCATCCCCTTCTTCATCGTCACTGAATGGATACGCCTCCGCCATGACAGCGGCAACAATTTGAATGTTCCCGCGCTGGCCGTGGACTTTTATAGGCCTTCTCACGTGATCTCGCCTGCGCTGGGATTGGTGGACCCAACTCAGGTGAGAGTCAGGTGAGGGGGTTTGATTGACAGGAAGAAGATCAGGGGTGGTCCCCCAATGGGTACAGACTCCTTCCATCTCCTCTAGGCCTGGACCGAGATCGATGATTGGCGGAGAATCCCTTAGATAAAGTCTGTCCATCAGAACAGACGTCAGTTGCGTTCGAGAAATGCCTAACAAAAATCCGGAAGAGAAGAAACGATTGGAGCACGAGTGGTATGTGAGAAACAAAGAGAGATTGTTGCAGCAGAAACGGGAAAAGCGGGCGGCCCAGAAAAAGGTGAAACCGCCCAAACCGCCTAAACCAGCGCCGACCCCCGAACAGGAAGCGCGAGCCCGAGAGTACAACCGACAGGCCTGTCTGCGCTATCGCACCAAAAACGCGGCCTTCGTGCGCATGTTAAATCGAGATTACTATCACAAACACCGCGAACAGATTACTCAGCAGCAACGAGAGCGACGTGCCAGGAATCGACAGAGCCGAGAGAATCCTTTCCGTAAATTACGAGCGTTGGCGGACGTGTGTTCTTCCCGTTTGCTGGAGTTAAATTATGGATACGCCCCCATCGCGCCGAAAAAAACGGGACCCCGAGGCCAACAAACTAACCCAAAAACTGTATCGGAAACGTCAATATGCATCCGTGAACGGGATCGAGAAAGTAAAAGCCCTCCATCGTCGACGCTACCATCAGCACATAGCAAACTTGAAGGCCAAAGGGGAGTACGAGGCCTTTAAGGCCAAAAAACTGGAGTATGGGATGAAACGCTATTATGCCATGTCCGAGGAAAAGCGGAGTGAAGTCAAACAACGGAACGCCCAAGCCCAGAAAAACTGGATGGCAAAAATGAAAGAAGAGGGAACGTACGAGGCCTACAAAGAACGCGTGAATGAACGGCGGCGACAACTCCGGGCCGAAAAACAACAAGCCTTAGGGGAAGAGGGGTGGAGAGCCTTACAGAAAGAAAAATATCGGAAGCGGATGGAGACCCTACAAAATCAACGCTTGGCGGAGCATTTGGACCGTCCCTTTCCCCTCCCGTGGTTACCGTTAGACTGGTCCGACACCGAGCTTGACGAGGACCCTGTACAAGTGACTCGTTCCAATGCCTTACAACAAGTACAACAATATTTGTAAGAACAACTGTAAGTCTTTATTAAAACAGGTGATTTAGATCATTCAACTCGTGTGATGACTGTGTTCCAATAATTACATGCCCAATCTCAGTTTGGTTTTCATAATGCGTCTGACAATCCGCTCCGTCAGAGTTTTACTACCAGGGAGTTGATCAATCTTGGCAATCATCTTGCGATCCGCCACCCATTTATCTTTCAAGGTCTTGGCTTTATCATAATCTATGTCATGCACTTTCGCAATCCTGTCTAACCGGTTGATGCCGGGATCCCCACGGGCCAAACGTTTTTTCAAATGAGTGCCAGGGCCCATGTACTGATAGCCAGGCCAATGAAATTCAATCCCCGTCTTGTTGAGGAGGTTTTGCACATCAAATAACTTGCCCCCGCGTTGCGATCGTCGTTGGCGTCGCCTCGGTCGGGCACGGGAGGTAGCTGTCACACGACGTCTCCGTCCCATCACGGGGTTTTCCACGATTTCCAATCCAAGGCTTTCTTGGCGAACCCAGCGGCTTTCTTTTTGGCGATACTGGCGGCTTTCTTTTTGGCAGAATCTGTCGTGCGTTTGCGAATATCACGCGTGACCGATTTCGTGATAGAGTCCGCCCGTTCTTTAGGGGATTGCCAGGGTGCTGTACCGTGCGTGTCTGAAAAAGGCAACTCCTGCGCCAACTCGGCACTGCTCAGTGGAGGCGTAAACTTGAGTTTCTTTTTAGCACTAGGGGTGATGTTCGGTTTAGGCGGGACAGGTGGTTTTCTGGGTCCAGCTGGCGTGGACCCTTGTTTTATACC